TATATATATATATATATATATATTGCTTCTTTCTTTCCATTCCTTTCAGCTCGCCTCGTCAATAAAGATCCTCAAAATCGTCAAGTGCAGCAAGAGCGGATTGAATTTGGTCTCGTTGTTTCTTTTCCTGTGGCTCACCGGCAGTGTCATCCTCATCGTCATTATCATCTTCCTCCTCTGCATCGCTTATTTGGCCAGCCCCTGCGGACCCATCCTTCTTGGCTGAGAGAACGGAGAACGTAACAGGGGCCGTCGTCAGTGTCAGCTGTGGAGTGAGGGCTAAGTCACTGGTGGTTCCCACCGCAGTACCACTGGTGTCGACACCGATGAGTCGCAGGAGTTGATCCGCCCGCTTCTCCTCACGGTGACGCCGCTCTTCCGCAAGTGACTCCAGCAACGGATCGACGCGACGTCGGTACGAAAGATACTCATCAAGTGTCTCTTCAACTTGCTCGCGGATCATGTCCTGCACTTCTTCCGTGAACTTGGCTGGGACAAAAAACACGTCATACATCACGGCTTCTGCACCGTCATCGCCCTCTTGGGAGCCGGAGGCGTGCAGGAAAAAGCGTGAGGCGTACGCAACCTCCATCCGCTGCATTTCCTCGTAGAGACGTAAAGCTTCAATGACCTCTGCCTGCATCGCCTTCAGAATAGCATCGCTTTTCTGGTACTTATCGGCGAGGGGCTCCAGATGCCCTTTCTGCTCCGCAAGGTCGTCCTCGATGATCTTCAGCTGTGCCATCTTGCCAATCTTCTCCCTCTCCAGCGTAATATTCAACCTGTGCCGCTCCTGCTCCTCCCGCTTGGCGGCGTTAAGAACGTTATGCAGGTTGGCGAACGCCGCCGATCGCAGTAGGCCACCTGTCCTCCTGCTGCTACTTCCACCCGGAGCCGCAGTCACTGTTGCTGTGGGGCGTTGTGGCTGTTCTGTAGTCGTGCTCGCTTGTGTTGGAGTCTCGTCAGGCTTCAACAAGTTGTCAAGCGAAGCCTGAAGGCGCGACCGCTCGCCTTCTAGTCTCGACAAGAGGGACAAGAGACTCCTGTAGCCGCGCTCAATGACGCGTGTACCCTTTCGCACAGCAGTGAAGCGCCGAACCAGCGCTGCGGTGTGTCGGTGCAGCGACTCGCGTTGTGTTGCTGTCAACGGCTCCGGGTAGTCCTCAAGCAAACGGAGTGCGTCAGCACACTGCGCCTCCTCATTGCGATCATTCGATGTCTCGTGCAGCGCAGCGACCATGCCTGAGGAGGAGTTGTCCTGCACCTGACTGTTGTTCTTGGTTATGTATGCCAGGGAGTCGGAAGCACACATCCCAGCTGGTTCTACCGGTACCGGCAGCATACTTCTCTTCTCCCTTTACACTGCCTTTCCCCCCAAGACATTATATATGGATATACATGTTTCGAAGACGTAAGAGAATGAAAAAAAAAAAAACCTCAGTGCAAGGAAAACGAAGGACACCCACACACCCACACGCCTAACCAATGCCAGTAGAAGTACAATACGACAGAGCACAAACAAAGATGAGCAAATAGAGGGGAATTCAACGATAGATGCACAACAAAAGGGCATATCTTACACCTACGGCTTTTGCAACACAGTGCAGGTACGACACTGTGACGTCTCATCTTTCTCTGTTGCAGCTTCTGTTCCCCAACGCATCTGAGCATTATCTGATGAAAAAGCAGCACCGCAACTCTCAACACACCGCGTCTGCAGGCCCTAGTACCGCTTTTCACACGATGCAATCACATCCTTGATGTTTCGCACTAGCTCTACCTCCCCTGACGTTAACTGTAGCTGACCTCGCCGGTAAAGCTCCCACGCACTTGCTGCAGGAGAAAGCAGGCACCGCCCACTTAAAGACACCTCCTTATCAACTGTGTGACTAGTGGCATCGCGGCTTGAGGCATACTCATTCGCGCCACTCCGCCTGTCGAGGTGGTTGCCAATCTTCTTGAGCGTCGCGTACATGTCACGGCGCAAGAGGGCATTCCCGTTCCGTGAACTGCGCAGATCTTGCTGCAACTGCGCAACCAGCGACACCTCATCTTCAAACGTGGACACTGCCACACTGCCTCTGCCACTTGGTCGCGAATACGGTGACTCGGTGAAAGCAGCGGTGCCACTGAACGGCAGGGCAATCCCTGCGGTCACACCCAGGAGCGGCGTCTAGCGAAGCGAGATGCGCACATGACTGACTCTCCCCTCGGATAACTGCTGCCGCTCCACTGATGAGACGAAGAGGGTCCCAGCAACGCCATGCTGCTTCTTTGGTCCTTCTTGTGAAATCTTGCTTCTCTTACTTCTGCTCTTGCGGTTTGTGCTTCGGTCAATACAGCAGTTATTTTGTCCCGGTTTGAAGCGCCGTCTACGTTTCCGCTGCTCACGCATTGCTACCAGCACGCAATCAATCTCATTGTTGTTGTTGTAGTAGTGTGGATCAACGGGTGGGGCATCCATCGTTCACTTCTTCATGGTGTTGATTCACCTGCGCGCGCGTATGTGCGCTCCTCTAGAAAACCATGAAAGAAATATCTCACAGAGAAAGAATGATAAAGCTCCCATAGAAGGGGGAACACAAAGCAAAGGGACCACGCGAATGCGCAGATGTTCACCTGCTGTTGTTTCTCCCTACTTAAATCATTCATCGACCTGAGCCAGTTCGGTTTCCGCTCTATCACCCTCGCTTTCTACCTCTTCGACAACATCAGTTCAGAAAAGTACGCCCGCCCCCTCATCCACAAGATGAAGCGGGAAAACAAAGACAATGCGGTAGCTTGGAGGACCCCTTAACAACTCTCAACGCTGAGAATTTACTGCTGCGGTACAGCACGGAGAGACACAAATTACACATATTCACTTACGCATGTACAAAAAACATACATGCATACAAAATAGGGATTGCGCACACCCACACACCACCTCCTCTACTGCAACGCGTCGCTCACCGATCTCCCCCAGGCACATGACCCCCCCCCCCC